CTGCTGAAATTAGTGGTAGCAAAGATATAGTAAAGATTTGGTGTTAGTCAGCAATTTAATATGCTTTAAAACTAATTATTCTTTAAAATTTTATGTTACTTACGTAACTCACTGTAGCAGGATTTGCTGTGAAGCATGTGATGGAAGAGCTTGCACAAAGACTGCTTCATGGGAGGTAAATTCTGGCAGGTACACTCCACGCGCAGCATTGTGCCCCAGTTGCTAATATAGGCTGCTTTGCAATCAGTGTTTGCAGAACAGGGCATGTCACCCTTGATTAAAGTTTCAAGACAAGCTTCATCATCGTAGCATTTTTTTGTCACATGTCTCCAACACTTGGACCAAAAATTTGTGTATTTTTTCCTGGTAGAAGAAAAAAAAAAAGGTATATAATGACAGTTTAAAAACTCAATGATTTCACAAAAAGACATTTAAGGATCATTATGAAAAGAGTGTATTCCTAAGTTACCACTTAAGTCTCAGAAATAATGATATTCATTGATAGCTGGCCTAAATTCTGCTCTGATTTGATTTGAGTGAAATCTGCAAAATTGTAATTTAAGGAAAAACTTGGTGTTACTGAAAAAGTTTTTGAGAAAAAGCAACTGCATTTCTGATCAGGACCTGTGGAGATTTTTCTGGACTCCAGCAAATACCAGTGTGAATACCAACAGTCTCAGATCCTCAGAGAAGAAATGTTGACAGAGGAGTAAGACCAGTTGTCACAATGACACCAAAACAGGTGGCACTCTAGTGGATCAGTTGGTTGGGCAGTGTGAAGGAAGAATGAATATTCAACTTACTTTACATAAAATAATCTACATACAATGCCAACCCCTCCTCCACCCAAATGCTAACAAAATACAAAACATACAAGTCTGAGAAAAAAATCAGAAGTAATTCAGTTGGCCTTAAAGATTAATTGATAGCAGAGGTAAGTTATGAGAAAAAATAACTTTCCCAGTTCAATAATCTCAAATTATTTCAATCTATTTGCTTTTAGGATAGAATAAAATTGGCCTTTAATGCACTATTTATGACAGTAGAAAACATCTATTAAAAGTTAACTAAGAAATCTGTAGATATTGATTAGAAACCAATTTATCACTTACATTAAATGATAAGGGCCAATAAAGATAAACTCTTGTATATTGTACATCAATATATTAAAACATTTTTTTCTTAATCACAAAATTAGATTATTAGTATACTGTTGATCTTACATAGCTGTTACAAGCCAAATCACATGGAAAAGCATGGACTGTAACAATACCACCTAGGACATTATTGTAAATATTTTCATTACACCAACAAAGGTTTCAAAGCAGCTGCCACCTCTATGCTAATGGAATTATTTTTATTCACCTCCTGATTTACAGCTATGGCTAGCCATAATTCACAGACTAATTTTTCTAATTATATGCACTTATTTTCAGTGCCAGGAAACGTTAATGTTCCCAAAACAATGGGTAGTTCAGCAAGTCTCCATTATGATATCACATGGGTGCACATGCACAGATACATATTTGTAGCTTGATCCTTGACATAAAAAGGGGCAGTTCCCACTGGCATCAATCTGAATAGCTTGCACAGAACTGAAAGCATTTCTTGGCCTCCTGGTTTGTTGACTGAAGGTTAATTTAAGCACAGCTTTGAAGTAAAATTCAGGCCTAATCCACAAGGGAACCGGTGACTACAATGAAAACCAAAGTGGGACAATTGATCATCTACGAATGGTGGCAATTAAGTAGGTCTATGAATACAGGCTAATCCTGTTACATGTTTCAAAAATAAAATCAAATCTGTAAAGTGTGTTATTCTTCATGAGCTTGGTGGTCTGTGCATATTTCAGGGAAGCTTTTTTCAAGTATCAGCATGCTTGAGATGAAAATAATAAGATCAGTTTTCTGAACAGGCCAAGTTGTCTGTAGGGCTGTTGGGTACAAAGGGTCAGACTATGGTAGAAGAGGTAATTACTTTAACCAAACAAATTTTGTCTGGTCGGCTGCACAATTTGTGCAAGCTGCTAGAGTGCAAAGGTGCAGACTGGCAGGCGTTATCTGAAGAAAGTGGTAATGAAAATATGCAGCATAGTTTGTCCAGCAAAAAATAGTGTTAAGAGTCAGGAAAGAGACAGAAGCAAAGCCCTTCTGAAAATAAACCTTTTCAGTTTACTTGTGGAATTACTTGTGAAATTACCACAGCTGATGCAGGCATCTGTGAGGATGTCAGACCCAAATGGTAATATGCAACAGAGACAGTGCAGAATTATTTTTGGCTATAAATGAGGTATATGTCATATATGTAAAAAACTATTTGATCAAATCCTTATTCACAGGCACATTGCTAAGCAAAACCTTTCTTCTACTCACCTGCACAACTCGTTCTCTTCACACGTGTGGATTACGTTCAGACATGATGGGGGTGGAACTGCAGTAACTGCACAGGGCTTGCCATGCAGAAGTTCTTTGGCTCTGTGGCAGGATTCATCAGGCTGGGTACATTCACAAAATGTCATCATTTGGGCAACTTCAAAAGGCATGTGTTGATAGAAGAACCTTATGGCTGCTTGACATTCTTCCATGTTGCACTTCTTATTTACTGAGCAAACCTTAAGGTACAGGGACAACTGTTTGTTACATACTTCATCTTCAACACACTCCTTGTTCACATCCAAACAGGTTCTGTTCGCTGTGTATGCTAAAAAGAATAACAGTTTTTAAAATGAAATCACAAAACAAAACAAGCATTGATTGGGAGTCATCCTGCCTGCAACATTCCCATTAAAAACAAGTTTGAGTCGCCAAAACACCGATCCAGCTCTTCTACCATTGCCTCTTTTAAGTCTATTATGTGATCTGCATATTTCTCCCTTCCACTGCTGGCCCAATAACCAACCCTGCTGCAAGTTTCTGCCCCTGTCAGATACGTGAGGGAGAAGAAAGTTAAAACTGGAAAGATGGAAGTTTCTTCATAGTATGTGACAGTTTCTGGGAGCTAATGGCTACCTGAAGTTGCTGAGATCTCCAGCATGCAGTGTTAGGCTAGGCTACATAATAACTAATGGAGAAGGGTATATAAATGGCATTTCCATGCCTTTAAAACTAGTTTGGGTATGTCTAGCTTATGCTGTAAAGCTCCCAAAAAGATCGAGATAATTCTGACCCTAAAATGTTTATGGGATAAGATTTACCTCTGTAAATTTAACAGGATTGGGACTACTACCTGACATTTTTTTGATTATCTACCTGGTAGCTTAACTGGAAACATGATGCATCTATTGATTCCTTGCTCTTCAGTAATTTGAATGAAAAGTATTCATTTCAATCTTGAGATACACTGTCTGAAAACAGAGCTAAAACCATTAATTGGGATTCATAAGTAAATTCACATTTACCTTGTTTGGAGAGAGTAGATAAACTCCATTGTAATTTAGTTTCCATTCTAATATTGTCTAAAACAAAAAGATATGGATACAGGCATAAGTGATAAATCATGTCTTAGCTTAGTTTTTAACTTTAAAGTATTGGCTGTGTTGCTGGCATAGTGCCATTAGTAAAAAGTAAGCAAGAATAAAACAAATTGTCTTGACCAAATAGGACCTATGAGCTTGTTAACAAACTCTAAAAGGGTTGTTACATATATTCATAAGTTTTGGAATGAAAGCACAGTTTATGAATGGCTGCTGATAACATTGTCTCCATTACTATAGATCCTGTGAGCTCAAGAAGAGTTTCTAGATCTGCTCAGCACAATATAAAGTCAAGTTTCCTGTGAATAAATAAAGACCAGAGGCATTAATGTGTCCATCGGTGAACACGGTTTTCAAGTTCAACAGCTTGACGTGATCTAAAATCAAGGCAAGCAGAGAATTCTTGCTATTGAAAAATTGTTGTTATTGGTCTTATACTGTTTCTAATTATAGTGTACCACTAAAAAGAACTGGTTTGGAACAGATTGTATCAAATTAACACATTGAAGGATGATTGTATTTACATTCAGGCTAGCTGTATCTAAATAAGCCTCTTCAAACTATCCTGTTTCCAACATTAAACTGAAAATTATTAAGAAAATATTTTGCATAGACATGTGCACAGTACTGTTTGTATGAAAGCATTCAGAATGCTGGAATACCACTAACCTGTGTCACTGTCCTGACTTTTCTCATCATCATCATCATCGTCATCATCGTTATCATCGTCATCATCATAATTTTCACTAGCTGCTGAGGCTTGGCTCTCTTCAGAGTACTGTAAACAAGGGTTGTTAAATATTCCCTTCCATATTTTAACACATCTCATCTGAAGTGGCTCTGAGCACTTGCACTCTCCCAGCACTGTTTTCCTCAGTTCTTTCCACGCTGACAAACACTCCTGGTTGACGATCGGGAGCCTGCATTTTGCTGCACCCGCCTGGCATCCTCGCTGGAAGCTCTTGTACACTAGAAAACAGTAAGGATCCTCTCGACAACGTCGTTTTGCAATGCTGCAGTCATTCTCTGATTCTTCTGGGTATCTTTGGTCTTTGGAGTTTCTGTGTTGCCTAAAACTCAGTTCAGTGTCTGATCCTGAGGAAGTTTCCAAATAGTCTGTACAAATAGGCACATACAGAGATACAAATCAAATTGATGATGGACCATCATCACTGGTCAGCTCAAAAAAACTCAGGAAAAGGATAATTGTCTTAATACAATAAAATGAATGAAAGACCCCTAGTTTCATTCTGAGGTGTATGTAAATACATAGTAATTGCAGAGTCTTGCAGATTAATGAATCTTGCTCATGCTTACTGCCTTCTGGTAGTTGCATAGTCTACTTTAATAATACAGCTGCTAACAGTAATAGAAGAAACCCTCCATGAAATTACTGCATGAAGGGGTTAATCTCACATAATTTTAACCACCTACAGATTGGACATATCATGGATTATCATCTTAATTCAGTGCGTAATTTGTAAAGAGAGAATGGAAATTCCAGAAGATGGTTCATTCATTACCTAAAATAATAATTTAAGATAGACAGGGAGAATGACTCCTGAAAGTATCTACCAGCACCATAAGTTATCAACTGGGGTAAAACAGACACTAGTGTAACCCCATCCAAACTTTTTTGCTTCACTGTCGAGAAATCTCAATCAGCAAAAAATATAAAATTACTTCATTTTGCGAGAAGCAAATGCAACTGTTCCAATGACATCAACATCAGGTTTTAGATACCCACTCTCCTTGTTTGGGGCAAGGAGTAGTGGATCAGGATGTTATTATTTCCTCGGCAATAAAGTCATATATTCTACTACTATATCATGTATGCTGATGGATGCCAGGAGGGAGTGATGGATCAGAGCTGGGAATCAGTCTTGAGACTCACTTTCCAGACTCTCATTCACTGGCTGATTTTACCTCTCTTATGTCAGCTTTGCTAATCATAAATCCAGGAGACATTGGATCAGAAACTGCAAGCCTTTAATGCGCCAAGTAATTCTCAATTATAGAGATAGGTTTTCTGAAGGGAAAAGGGTTCTCAGGATAATAAACAATAAATTTAAAAGAGCTGGGCCCATTGATTACAATGGAATTTTAAAAAGGATGCAATTCATACATGAAGTACAGTTTTATGAAGGCAGTAACCATGTCTCCCATATTCACTAACCTCTCCTAGATGTAGCGATGGTGTTCCTGTAACAGCGTGACACAACTGCTTGTCCCCGTTCACCCACACTCCATTTAACAGGGTGGCTGGATGTGGCTCTCTATACAAAACATCCAGTGTCACTCAAGCCTCCTTGGGCAATAAGTAGACCTCAACACACATGGCATTTTCACTCTTGTATTCCATTGAATTGGGCTTTAAAAACTATCTGAATTCCTCACATGCTTGTTATTGGGTTTATTTTAAAGCAGATATGTCATTGCTTTCATAGGCATGTTGGTCTGTGAATGTGATGGAAAAGACCAAACTAATTTTGGGGGGCATTATCAGATTTGAGAAATATGCAAAGAAACTTGAATCCAGTTAAAATGAGGGTTACAAAATTATGTATTTCTTTTTGTTCTTCATAATTAAATCTTTCTGTTTAGTTACCTTTATCAATGCTGCACTGTTTCCTAAGCAAAGTCGTCAGAAATCGCATGTAGTGCAAACACAGGTTTTAAATTCTGGGTATTCGTCAACCAGGACTTGGATGATTCTATTACATCCAATAGCATCATCTGCCTTGCATCTATTACCTAGAACTTACCATTAAAATTATAATGTTGTTAATGTTTATGAACGCTTAAGGGATATGGTTACATAAAACAATTCAATTGAAGCACAAAAATAATATGTTTTGCCAAGACAAGATGATTTGAACTTAGTTTTGTTTAAAAAACCTGTCATAATTTACATATTTTAAATAATATTCAGACTGATATAATAGAGTTGTGAGTATGATATTGCTTCTTTTATTCAATCTGACCCATTGCTAGAACATATGTTTCTGTTCTCATTTCCTAAGAACAGAAAACCTTAAAATCATACCTTTTATTCTAGGCAGATGAGACACTGAGAGCAAACTACAAATGTGCACATGAGTTTTGGGGGCACATCCTGAACAGAGGCACTGAAACTCTCAGCTTGGTCCTGTGTAGAAATGAGAAAACTGGTATGGGGACAGGAATTGGCAGTGCAGGCTAAGGTACTGCCACGTAACGGAGTAAGAGAGGGGATGTAGGAAGGCAGATGCAGTCCCGTGATGTTGACATTGCTAACCCCATGCTGAGAGATGGTACCTGTGGTTCAGATCGCTCGCTCATGTGAGGATGGCTCGAGCCTACAGATGCCTTGGACTGCTACCCTACAGAACATCTTCATTGCCTAAATTTTGCAAGGACAACAGATTTGAAGTAGTACAAGAATATTCTGATTTCTAATTTTTTTATAATAAGAAAAAAGAGTGAAGTTAATAAAAATACAGAAATCTTCATTTGCCAATTCAGTTCCTGTTGCTTGCGTGTGCACTTGGACTCAGTAACAAAGACACTCACACAGGCTGTCAGATCATATTTTTCTCGTATGTGTAGCAAAAATAAAGATCATGTACTAATTTGTAGTACAGGGATAAATCAATCAACACCCTACTTTATGGACAAACTGCTTTGAAAGTATTTCATTCCTTCTTATTGGTTAAAAAGGTTACAAGTTACTTAAGAAATTTACATAAGAAGCAGTTTAATCCCATTTAAGAAAGTTTTGTTTTCTGAAAGACATGGTCTACCTCGTACAAACAGGTACTCAGGTCCTCAGACCAGCTCATTTCTTCTCTTTGCTCCATGGATATTAAGGTTCTTGCAATATGCAGCTGATGAGATCCAGGCTGCTCAGGGGGCAGCACGAGGATTGTGTTTAATCTCCTGAGCATACATGCTGTTGTCTCTGCCCTGCCAACGGTGATGCCTGGCTTCCTGCCTTGCTGCTCCCCAGGTGCGTAACATGGGGAGCAGCAGAGGCCGTGCACTCTAGTGAAACTGCAAAGCTAGCAGCCATGTGTCACTGCTGCCATGGACAGGTTTTAATATGATTAGAGATTTAATGTCATTTATCTTTGTTGACACAAATAGCAACGCAAGGCAGTCAAGCCAATAGCCTGCCAGAGGAAACTGGAATTTGCCTGTGCCTGAAGGAATGAGTATTAGCTGTTCCAGAGGGCACAACCCCATCCTGCCACCCCAGAATCCTTTTTCAAACAGTGTCTGCATTGCCCCATCTCCAGTTGCTGTTGCTAAGGAGGGTTTGGGGCTGTATTGAAATGTGCACTGCGACAGGGGGATGTCACAGTCCAGCAAGAGCTGCAGCTCCCAACCTCTGCTCCCACTTCGCCGCTTTTATCAGCAAAAGAGGAGGTCGTGGTGCCTATATCTCTCCAACCTCATCTCCAACTTGCCTTCTGCATTTTTACAAGTAGAGCATGACCCTGACCCTTAGACCTCACATTTCTTTCTGTGTCCAGTAGCCAAGGAGCTCAGGAGGTCTAAATAGGAACTACTGAAAGTCTAAGACATAGGTCATCCTAAAGATGGATACATGGTGACATGGGAACTGTGGAGGCCCGTGGAGGTGGCTGGATATTCTACTCTATATTTTATCAGGTGATTAAAGGATAATAAAGGTATTCCAGGAGGACAAATTCCAAGGGTAGAAAAAGAGCAACAAAGGTCAAGAGGTGCTTGTGTAAAAAAATAGCTAATTTACAAATTTATGACTGCCGCCTTCAAGATTCTGAGGACTTTTCAAGGGTGGACTTAGTAGAGATAGGAGAACAAGAAACACAAATGCCACTATATTTTATGCAGCACCCCAGCCTCACTTAGCTCATCTATCATCATGGCAGTAGCGTGTTGTGGTTAGGAGTCAGGTACGGGGGCTATGTTTGGCGTGGCCCTTGTGTGATGTGAGCACACTGTGCTGAATCCCAGCAGCTGGCAATCAGGGGGTGAGACATAGGTTGTGGGGTTATGAACATACAAAGGACATAGACAGACTTGGAAAGCAAATCAGATTTATGGGATTCACTTGCCTGGCCTCCTGAAAACTGCATAGAAATAACCTTTTATCAGTATCGGTCTGTTTGTGCATTGTGTTGATTCAGCTGTGATGAACAGCATAAAATACTTTATTGCTCATTTTTAATTATTGCTGCTTTATCTTTTATTAGTTCTAGGTAATATATTTTTGCTTATACATATGCTTCCATGGCCATTATTTATAATTCGATTTATTTATGTGTACATAATTTATGTACATAGGACCACGGAGAGAAGCATGACAGGTTAGAAGCTGACACTTACAGAGTGACAATCTCTGTTCTTGCACAGCCAGCTCTTCAGTCGTCTCGGTGGGGATCATATCTGAAGACTGCAGAGAAGAGTACTAGGTTTTTACCTCTAGCTCTGGTGAGACCACATCTGGAGTGCTGTGTCCAGTGCTGGGCTACTGAGGACAAGAGGGACATGGAGATACTGGAGTGCCTACAAAGTGCCACAAATGTGGTTAATGGACTGGAGCATCTGTCCTGTGAGGAGAGGCTGAGTGCTAGGATTGTTCAGCCTGCAGGAGAGAAGGCTCAGGGGCGCACTGATACATGTACTCCTGTGTATAAATACATGATTGATGGGCGTTGAATAAAGCAAGGACAGGCTCCTCAGTGGTATCCAGTGACAGGACAAGAGATACAAACTTAATTACAGGAAATTCCTTTTGAAAGTCAGAAAAAAAATTTTAACTCTGAGGGTCATCTGACAGTGAGAGAGGTTGCCTAAAGGGGTTTTGGTGCCTCCATAATTGGAGATACTAAAAATCCAACTGGATGCAGACCTCGAAGACAGCCTGCAGTTGACTCTGCCTGAGCAGTGGGGTTGGACTAGATCTCCAGAGATCCCTTCCAACCTCAGTGATCATGTTCCTCTAAGAAGAATAAACTCTTACTTCCAAATTTAATTCAAAATGTGATTCTTTAATATTTGAGCAATCTGAGATTTTGGGTTTCTTTTGAACCCAGATGTTTCCAGTTCTAAAAAATTAAGAAAATGTATACTCATGGATAAAGGAAGGCTCGGAAATTTCTACTTTTTTATTTTTTTTTAAATCAGTGAAATAAAAAAAGATAAAACATCAAAATCCAAACCTTAATAGCTTCATTCTGCAGTGATGAAATATCTCTGACATTTTCAAAGTGAAAGGTTTTGATTCCATCAAAATAAAATATTCCATCCTGATTTAGAATATGACTCTCAGACTTTTTTTTACCTTCTTATTTTTTTTTTTCCCAGTGTATCTTGGCACAGATAAGGAAATGAATGAAGGATTGGACTCAGATGACTATAAACTGAGCCTCTGAAAATGCTGCTGTAGCAGTAGGAGAGCCCTGATGGGCAGTTTGATAGAGTGACTTAAGCAATCATCTGGAGAGTCCCCCCAGACCTGCTCTGAAGAACAAAAGATGGAGGTCCTGAGAATGCACACGTTTAACTTGGAAGTTACAGATGAGGGTCTGAGTTACAGAACTCGTACCACAGAGTAGAAGTATAATTGCCATTTGTACCTGGGTTTTTTATAATAAAACTAGCAAAAGGAATATTTGCCCCATTGCCTGTAGCTTCTGACTAACATGCTCCTTATTACCCTTTTGATTCATACAGCTCATCCGTGAAGATTCTTGCACATGTAGCGTACTTTTGACAGACAGTATGTTATTCTTACTAATAATGCTGCTGGTAGATTTTCTGTTGCTGTTCCTGTGAGCTGAGAGATATCATCAGCTGTCTAACTGCAGGTTTACACCCTCTGGGGCCATGGCACCTAATAACTACATTTAGAATAATTTGTCCTAACCCAACGCAACATCTGAGTGTCCTGTGATGCTGGAGAGTCCTTGGCAAAGGCTGTTATCCTAAGGAAATTCACAGATGCAAAACCAAACAAGCAACCACAAGAAGAGTTTATTTGCAGCAGATTTCTCTGACCCAGTTACAGATACCATTAATGTCAGTGATTAAGCACATGGGACAATAAGCGAGGGAAATGTATTATGGGACAATGCAACAAATTTGAAGGGCAGATCACTGAAGTCATCATGTTGGACCACTTCATCTGGTGCAAGGTATGTTGAATAGGCTACACTACAAATCCCGATCTTTATGTCAAGTGCTACTCCTTTTGTGAATGTTGTGAGAGAAGCAATTTCAACTTTTGATTTGGGGAAGAGGTTTGGTTCTAGAGAGCTCATCTTTAGGTCACTGTCTTGAGGCTGAAAATACTGCATACTCTAATATTTTTTTTTCCCCCAAACAGCAGCCATATCTTTTCAAACTATTCCACTTCACATAAAATATTTAAAAAGTCAATAGAACATGAGCCAAAACAGTTCCTTTGGGGACTGTTGTAACCATTAGGTTATCATGTATTTTTCATTTATTCTGTCTGTCTTAAAAGTATTCAGCCATTCTGTGCAAAGCAGATACATAGCTAGAACAGGGCACAGTACGAAGAACCCTCCAGAGAATTTTCTGCTCTAATTATTTTGAATACTGCCTTGTGAATTGGGACCCTTGGGTTCAAATCTCTGCAACAAATCAGGCATATCAACATATCAAC